CCCCCAAATCAAAATATAAAAATGTAAAAAATTAAATCATGACAGTAAATTTGTTAACATGGATCCCATTTTAAGGTTTATTTTTTAATAGTAGTCTGTTTACAAAGTCAATTGGCTCTATAAGATGTTATATTTAAGGTCATACAGACTTAAGATCACAAAACAGCCAGATCAGTGCCCAATGGTCTTATAGTAAAACTCTTTACTCTGCTGGAAAAACAAAGCCCTGAAAAAAGCTCAAACTTGACCTTGGCTTTTGTTTAACGTATCGTGCGTGATGCAGATGTCTGATACTCACAGGTATGCAGCTTTTCCTTCTTCCAGTTCTTTACTTTTGCCACTGGAGCCACTTTTCTTCCCACACATTCTCCTGGTGATGCACATTAATAACCCACATTGTCGAATAAAGAAGCAGCTGACATCTGTTACCACAAGGATTAGCAAGAGTGCAGCAACTCCCAGGCCAATAACTGCTCCAAGCCCAAGACCATTAAAAAGTGTGTCTTAAAAAAAATAAAATAAATATATAATAATTTTATTAAACCTCACACTAGAAAAGATCATACAGTTATTTTAAAAATAAATCTTATCCAAGAAATATTCAGCTAAAGACAAGAAAGAAGGGATAGTCATTAGGTGAATTCTGTTTCATGGTTGTTGAGAGCTAGTCTCTGGTTTCCAAACAATATTTTAGGCAACTGATACAGTAGTGCTTTGAAATATTTTTACAAAATTTTTAGATAAAAACTCTTAAGTAACAATTTTTTCCAAAAGACTTCTTGATTCCCTGTGGGAAAGGTAATGAATATTATCAGAAAGTCACAGCCACTAAAAGATCATCACTTTGTTAAAAGGAAAATATAGTCAAAACTCCTGTAACAGAAGTGTTAAATGTTCTTTACATAATTATTTTAGTGTGCAGACTTAAATTTAGTGTGAAAATTAAATGATGGCTCCAAGCACTTTGCTTTGACAAAGAATACATTTAAAAATATCTTTGTGTGAATATTTTAAAAACCATTCTTTTAGAAGAAATGTGTGCTTGTATTTTTCTAGTTAATATTTTAACAGGTCATATCAGACTAGAGGCAAACAACAGAATTATGGTATTTATGACCTTCCTGAAGGTAGGGCATGAGGGGAGCCACTTTTCCTTGGCATGTAGTTGCAGGAAATCTCAAAAGCCTTACAGAGAGTATCCATGAAAAGGGTGATTGGGAATGGGACAGAATATGCTGACTGACAAAGTAGAAATGGCAAGAGAGATTCACAGGGCAAAAATAAGTCTAGTGTTACATGTCTGTGGTAGAAGATGAGGGTTCACTGCACAACTATAACCATATAGACAGGATAATACGCACAATGGAAAGAAACCAGGTTAAATTGGTGATATTGTGTTATCTAAAGGCCAAAAGGAGGATTACATAAGACAATTTTATAGAATTATTCAAAATGATTTTTAACACAAGTATGCTAAAATTTGTTTGCTTAACATTATAAAATTATAATTTCCCTTTTAATGATAAAAAGCAAGTTTATTATCCAGATCATAATGGCATGCTCGCTAAGTAACTGATATGGAACACAAGTGAAAGATACAGAAACAGATATAAATTTGAGATTTTAGAAAACCACTGAATAATTGTATGTAAAACAAAGTTTTTCTAAGTCAGTTTTTAAAAGTTAGGTCAAATATTTTAATAATGAATCAAAAAAAATTTATCCAAAAGAATCAACATAATTATTCCTTTTCTTTTTATCTTTATTGTTGAAAGTATTACAGATTCCCCCTTTCCCCCCTTCTTGACCCCTTCTACCCCACACTGGCCCCCGGCCCAGGCCTTCACCACACTATTGTCTGTGTCCATGAGTTATGCTACTTATTTTGAATTTACCACTCACGGGCTGATCTTGAATATGTCACACCTGTCTGAATGCTAGTATGTTTTTCTGCAGAATGACTCTCATGTCTACATTTACTTTATTGGTAATTATTTTGGACATACTGCACATGATTCAACAACCAAGGCTCAAAAAAGAATAGCTGAAAATACACGTCCAATTGGGCTTTCGCCTCGTGGACATATTCATGCTATGATCTTTGTGCTTTCAACTAGTCATTTCTTTCTTTCTTCAGTTAGATTCCTCTTGATACCGTTATAATAATTGGAAAAGAGCAAAGGGAAGCTGCAACTTAATGCATGCCCAGTAAAGTCTAGGGGATGTAGCGAGGGTGCTTGTCTGCCGGTCATACCTGGGAACAGGGCATTGGCCAGAGTAGCTGTGTAGGTGTGGCCACAGCAAGCTCAGAAGATTTGATATTTAAGCTCCTGACTAAGGGAGTTTGTGCTCTTGGCTCTTGGCCCTCTTGGGATCCTGGCTCTCTTGTTGCAGGGGTGGTGCTCCCCTGCTTTCACCCACATGGCTCATGGACTGATGGGCTGGGACTAGCCTGATGCTGTACAGGACTCAGTTCCACCATGGAACAGAAACTCTGGACACTGGCATTGTGTCTCTCTCTGCTGACGTCCCAGGACTGGCTTAAGGAAAATGGGACTTTGGAAACTGAGAGAATTTCACACAAATAAAAAATCATTCATTCTCTCTTGTGGGTCTTAGAAAATTCTTTTTCTCAAGATACTGCAAGAACCTGACTCCCACTAGCAATGGAGAAACTCCACCTGCACAGTCCTCCAAATAACACTCTCACATGCAGACCTAGTTGTAAGCAATACATCCCACAGATGATGTATCTGGTCCATTATATAAATCCCCACTTAGGTATTTCAAGCATGAAATCTGGCTTTGTACTTAAATGTACTGGGTCTGCTGTCTGAAAATCCTGGTTCCATCACTTACTGCTGTATGTCCTTAGGTGAGTCAGCTCACTTCATTAAGGCCCAGATTCCTCTTTAGCAAAATAGGGACAGTTATAGAAACAACCACCACAAACTGGCTCATGGGTTAGGAAAAGATAACCGTGAATAAGCTACTTAACACTTCTAGCACTTATTGTCCATCACTAGTAAAATTTTAACAAATATTTAAAGTTATTATTTTACTGTTACAAAATTCTAGAAAAATGTGTTTTTATGAAAAAAAAATAGTCTATCTAAAGCTTCAATTGTCTGAAGCAACCTACAGTATCTCTTATTAAGCACTGATTATTCTCTTGAGAATATAATCACTTTTTTTAATGACTTAGGTTTAGCTAGTTAGCTTTTAAATGATAAATGTTTTCCTTTGTTACCTTTTTAGCATGAAAGCAGTCTATTGATCTGCTTCACTTCCATCTTTCAAAAAAGCTCTTAGAAACATTTTAGATGTAAAGTACCTGATAGCAAAGGAATATTGATACTAAATTACCTATTATTTATTTTTAGAGAAAAAAATTATAACTTTTTAACTTACAATTAAAATGTTTAAAGGTTTCTTGGTTATTTTTATGAAAACCAAATATATTTTTGTCATTGCAGAGGATAGGATGGACATCAAATGGGTTTATATTATTGATACATAATTTTATTTTTCAGGTAATGTTTTTTAAAGAGTCAGCTTAAGAATGTATTTAAATATATATTCTCATATCTCATGAGGTTAGGGTACAATAACTATGAAAGCTAAATTTTCTAATTTATTTTCCTGCCACCAATTTACTCTGGTGTCGAAGTTTACTTATTTGTCTTTGGATTTGTCACAAAAAACCCATAGGCATAAGCAAAATACATCACTAGGATTTGGGGACAAGCAATGATTTATTTTTCAGAAGCATACAGAGACTTCTTCTTTATAAGCTAATTATGGCTTAAATTATTTAACAAATTGAAGTGGTTACAGCGATCATTGAAAGGTTTTAAATTAATATTTCCTCTTTTACCTTTTTAGCGCAGCTTTCCAGAACACTTATACATGTATGATATAATTTTAATAACAAGCCCATTATAAGGGAAAACTGTATTATCAGGTCTGTTTTACACATAAGAAAACTGAGTTCCAGAGAGAACAAGTGAAGAATATTTAACTTCAGGTTTTACATTTCTGAGACCTGTTAGAGTTGACATTTTTATCAGGTATTCAACATCAAATAATGAAAAGGCCAGGACAAAATATAGTGAATTAATTAAAATGTGCAATTTTCTTACAAAAATGTCAATATCCATTTTCCCCTGTATTTCTAAGTGGAAGAACAATTTAAGTAAAGTACACGGGCTTCCTGTCAAGATGGTGGCGTAGGTATATAAAAAAATGAACTTCAAGTTTGTCATATGCGTGTCTTTCATGTTTCTGCTGTGGAAACTCACTACTAACACGCTGAATTCATTTTCTGTAAAATTTACTATATTTTATACTACTATTTTTTTTTTAATTGCACCATGTTGATCACGCCACACTTGGTGGTTTTTTATTCCTGCTTAAATAGTTCGGTATTTTATTTAACTCGCCTTCTATGTGTATGTGCAATCTCCCAACGGACTGAGAATTGCTTTGACTTGGAAAGGTGAAAAAGATACCGAGAATGAAATGTTTTTAGTTTAAAAGGCCCCAGGTGGAGGTTTGATTGTTGCCCCCAGGACACTGGCAGCTGGTGTCATAGGAAATACAGCTAGATACAGTAAATAAGCAGCTTAACAGTGTGGAAGACATCAAGATCTTTAAAAGCTCTTTGTTGTATACGTCACGTCATTACTAGATACTATTTCCTTCCACGGCTGAGGTAGGCACAGGTGTCTTCTGTGCAGACATTCCTCCTGTATGCTGCCCAGAGTAACCCACCTTCAAATTGACTCATCTGTGGAAAATCTAGGCACAAATCTGTATATATATATGCCCTTTGTGAAAACAGGTGGGGCAGGCGCCTTTCTGCAGTTGGACTCCATTGAAACCACAATGTCAGCTTCTTTAAAATCAGACATCTGGATGATCTGAAAACTTGTGGCCACATAGTTTTTGTTTTGTTTTTTTCTTTTAAAATTATTAATCCATTTATGCTTCACAAACCTTCACTGAGTGTCTATTAAGTTAGTTTAGAATATAAGAGATTTTCTGATAGGTACTAAAATAAAATTAGCAAAGATTAACATAAATTCCCCAAATGTAATTTCATTGACTGGATTCCAACAGACACAGCAAAGGTAAAAAAGGGTATAATTTTTGTTTTCTTTCTTAACATAGTAAATTTATTGGGGTGGCACTGGTTAGTAAGATTATATAGGTTTCAAGTGTACATTTCTATGATACATGATCTGTATATTGCATTGTGTGCCCACCACTCAAAGTCAAATTATCTTCTGTCACCATATATTTGGCTCCCTTTACCCTTTACTAACCTCCTGCCCCCAGCCCCTTCCCTCTGGCAACCACCAGGGTTGTGTCTATGAGTCTCAGTTTTATATCCCACATATGTGAAATAAGTCAGTCAAAAAAGCTAAGAACCATATGATTTCACTCATATGTAGGGCAAGGTTTTTATATGAACAAAGACATACAGTTAATAGTGAGAGTT